ATGTAGATGTATAGACCAGGTGTAGGTGAATAGAAGAGCTGTTAATGTGTAGATGTATAGACCAGGTGTAGGTGAATAGAAGAGCTGTTAATGTGTAGATGTATAGACCAGGTGTAGGTGAATAGAAGAGCTGTTAATATGTAGATGTATAGACCAGGTGTAGGTGAATAGAAGAGCTGCTAATATATAGATGTATAGACCAGGTGTAGGTGAATAGAAGAGCTGCTAATATATAGATGTATAGACCAGGTGTAGGTGAATCAGCTATGCGTAGGTCCATAAATGGGTTGTAAATCATCTTGTTGGAGGAAAGTAAAACAGCTTCTTGTGTTCACTGGGAGATGAGTAAAGCAGCTGCTTGTGTGTTCAAATAAATGTATAGAACATTTTTTATTTTTAAGATTTACTGGCCAAGTGGGATGTATTGTTGCTGGTATGAGGTCATCTGAAGAGGCTAAAGTTGGAGATACTTTGTTCTTGAAAGATACTAATGTTTCTTACCTTCCAGGTTTCAAACCTGCTAAACCTATGGTGAGTTATGTCTAGCATCTTGTTGCCATTAGATCAGTAATATACAAATGATACTTAGGTTTGGTTCTATCTGTAGAGATTTTACAAATATTACACAGGTTTGAAAGGTGCTTCATTAAATAGAAATAGTATTATTCATGTTATATACGTATTATTAACGAATTGATAAAATTACAAATACATTGAGTGTATGGACAAAATCCAATAAATGTTAGTCATTCAAAAATATATGTGATGTATCATTTTAGAAAATGCTGTGTTAACACACCATCTGTAGTCTTCAAACACACAAACATATACTGACCAAAGTGATGTTATGTCACTTTATCAAAAACCAAACACTGTTCTACTTCTAATATACTCTTTAAACCTTACCCTGATGATCATGGTCACTTTAGATTATCTTTTACAACACATTCTAGGCTAAGACTGTTGTTTGTATCTTATAAACGTTACCATGATGGCCAACATCAATTTGGACTATCTTCTACAACACATAATCATTGTTTGCTATCTTCCACTACATGTTGTGGATCTCAGCTGTTTTTTTAACCTTATAAACACTACCTTGAAGACCAACATCCGCTTTGACTATATTTCACTACACGCAGTGAACGTAGACTCTTCTGTTTTTCAACCTTTAAATACTTCACAGAAGCACAATATCTGTTTCTGTTCCACCACAATATCTGTTTCTGTTCCACCATAATATCTGTTTCTGTTCCACCACAATATCTGTTTCTGTTCCACCACAATATCTGTTTCTGTTCCACCACAATATCTGTTTCTTTCCACCACAATACATGTTTCTATCCCACCACAATATCTGTTTCTATTCCACCACAATATCTGTTTATATTCCACCACAATATCTGTTTCTGTTCCATCACAATATCTGTTTCTATTCCACCACAATATCTGTTTCTATTCCACCACAATATCTGTTTCTATCCCACCACAATATCTGTTTCTGTTCCACCACAATATCTGTTTCTGTTCCACCACAATATCTGTTTCTATCCCACCACAATATCTGTTTCTATTCCACCACAATATCTGTTTCTATCCCACCACAATATCTGTTTCTATTCCACCACAATATCTGTTTCTATCCCACCACAATATCTGTTTCTATTCCACCACAATTATAGGCATAGATGCTGGGGAAAGCAAGTTTTGCCCCAAAATATAAAATCGACCTTAAAATCATGTACTATAAGGTTTAAAGTTGATTTAAAAAAATAGTTCTAATGACTTCCATGCAAAACCATATGGCACTAAAGGGTTAAAAAGGTGCAAGTGAAAATGTCACATGTAGGTAATATTTTCTGAAAAGGCATAATGAGTTTGCAAATATAAAAGTTATAGATATGTATGGAGCTTTTGCATGAATAATGTGGGTGATTTTTGCCTAAAAAATATTTGGGCCAGAATTTAGGGGGTAATTACCCCCTTGACCCCACCTCTTACGTCTATGACCACAATATATTGTTACAACAACGGAAATCATGTGATGCTGGTGGCACACGTGATGAGTTTCTCGAATGATCGGGGAAGTCCGAGTATTTTGGAGATGCCCTCTTCGTTAGTATATAAGCCTGGTAGAGGAAAGCCAGCGGGGCAGGATATATGAATGAAGGGAGAGCAGTAGTTACTCTGAGTTCCATGTAATTTATGATTCTGTTAGTTTCGAGCTTGTGAGCCGTAAAGTGTGTGTCTTGCACTCGTCGAGAGTGTAGTTATCGAGATTGTGAATCACTGTGATTTATAGCTTGTATTATAAAAGTTGTTAAGTTTAAAGTGACAAGAAACGTACTGATTGTGGAACTTTCTGTGTACTAAAAGTGTCTATCGAGGAAGAATAAACTGGTTTAATAAAGAAAGGACTTGTATTGCTGAAGATCCTCGGAAAGAATTTCTACCGGAAACAAACAAACAAGCAGATACGTAACAATATGTTTCTATTCCAACTCAGTATCTGTTTCTATCCCATCACAATATCTGTTTCTATCCCACCACAACATCTGTTTCTATTCCACCTGAAAATCTGTTTCTATTCCACCTGAAAATCTGTTTCTATCCCACCTCAAAATCTGTTTCTATCCCACCTCAAAATCTGTTTCTATCCCACCACAATATCTGTTTCTATCCCACCACAAATGATGAGATATTATTAGGCCTCATTTTTGTTGTTATATTTTATTTTCTATTGCACAGACTGATTACCTTCAATGTATCTTGTTTTTTCAGGTTTATGCTGGATTATATCCAGTTGACCAATCACAAAATCCTTCTCTGAGACGTGCGCTAGAAAAGCTATGTCTTAGTGATTCCAGTGTATCAGTAAGTATTGACTCAAGGTAAGACTCTCACTTGTGGTAATTACTTACAGGATTTACATTTTGATATAAAAATATTTCTGTGATAACATAAACTATATTTTTGGAAAGTGAACCTGTTTTAATGGTTAATTTTGTTACTTTTATTAACTTTCTCAATTTGTTATAAAACAAGAACAAAAATTATTCCAGCAAAAGGTTTTCATCAAAAAGTTGTTATAGTTTCAAACAGACAGAGAACATGAAAAATGGGTGTGAGAATCTTCACAGCCCAACATTTGATGGAGAAATGGATGCTGCTTGTATGAAGCACGAAAGTTACAAACATATTTCATTCAATTATAGCTGTTGAAGTGCTATTGTAATAACAATATTATTAGTTTTCAATCTTTTATCATTTATTTCATCCTTGGAGTTGTCATGTAAGTATGCTAAGTATGAGAAAAGAGATTAGGAGTTTCATTAGAATAAAATATACTTCTGCTGCAATAATTGTGTTATATCACTTAATCAAACTTCCAAGAGGTAACATAAGAGTGTGGAAGTGTTATATCAGGCACCTTACTATCAAACACCTAACGATGTGATGTGTTATATTGGGTAATCACATTACAATAATGATCGATGGCTTAAATCAGGTCTTCAGACTTCAAAAAAATAATGTAACAATTTAAAGTGTTATATCAGTTAATCAAACTTCCAAGCATCATGATAATGATATAATGTGTTATATTGGGTTATCAAACTTCTAACCTACCCCATAATTGGCTATGTGGTATATCAGGTTATCAAACTTCCAAACAACACCATAACTGTCTGTTATGTTATATCAGGTTATCAAACTTCCAAATAACATCATATCTGTCTGATGTGTTGTATCAGATAGTAAAACTTTCAAGCAACACCATAATGGTCTGATGTGTTATATCAGATAGTCAAACTTTCAAGCAACACCATAAAGGTCTGATGTGTTATATCATGTAGTTAAGCTTATAAGTGACACCTTAACAATTGAATTGATGTGTTACTTAAGTTTAGGACATTGTGGTGAGGATCCTGAGTGATACCAACAATGTAAAACAATCTGAACCATCTAAGGTGTCATATTATGTTCAGGCTTATGTGTATGTATCTGAAACTGAAATCACAAAACTAGTGAATGAAAATTATATAAAGGTTTATGCAGGTGGGTTTCAATTTTCACTCTCAAAACACTTGATTCTGTAACATTGATTCTGCTTGCTTGTTTATAAGCTTTAATTTTAGTTACTAAAGCAGTGTCATATTTTTTTGGTATATTTATATCAATCTTTCCTCATGACTTATATCTGTTACCATCTTTGGATTGCTAAGAATCATTTTGAGATACTTAAATAATTCATCCAAAAATATTTTTTTAGCCCTGCCTTAGGTCAAGGCTGGAGGCTGGGCTTTCTAGGGTTGCTGCACATGGAAGTATTTTCACAGCGACTCGATCAAGAATTTGATACACAGGTTGTTATAACTTCCCCAAATGTGCCTTATAAAGGTACAGTAATTTATTTAGCATTAAAGAGCAGTGATGTTTTAGTCTCTTATTTTACACTAACTTAAAGTAAGAGACATATATTTCTTGTTTGTGAATTTTGCTTTTTCAGTTGATTACCTTATAGATTTCTTAAAATGTTTACTGTTTCTATGTCAAAGCACTTATTAAGCTTAATTCTCTTGTGCTGGTTCATGTCTCTCCTGACACAGTTATGTGTACTTGTTAGGTTTTACATTTTCATAGATTGTCCAACAGATTTCAAACAAATCCAGTACATGTTTCAATACTTTTTCAAAAGGGTTCAGTGTGAAATATTTTGGATAAAAGGCTGTTTCTTGAGTTAGATGTGTTTTATATTAGATAACTGGATGTGACTTCTTTGTAAAGTAAAATGTTGAGACATATGTTATAACTTGGAAAGTTACATCTAGGGTTGGGGGATAAACAAAACTGAAGGTAAAGTGAAGAAACCACAAAAACTACCACATTATATTAGCCTTATTCTTGAGTAATGATACAGTATAATTCAGAAATGCTACTCATCCCTGTGCACCACAAAGAGCTCTTACTGTATAATTTCCTGCACATGCCTTGAACAAAGCTCCAATCCCTACACATGTCAATGTTTTGCACTAGCGTATGATGTAATCTTCATTACACCATAGCCTTCCACCAGTTGGAGGACGACACATCCTCCATGCATGGTAATCCCCATGAACACCCAGCATGTGAACACAAACTTATTATTTCCTCAGCACTGCTTGTCTTCAGACTTTTTTTCCCATGATATTTACTAGAATTTTTGCATTTATTGTTTTAAACTTTCATTTCTATTTGTCATGTATTTTTGCCTTCCTTAATTTTCTTGATTATATGAAAGAACTATACAAAATGTTTAACTTATTGGTGTTAACTTTCATTCGAATTATCTTCAGTTTGATATTCCTTTAATCTACTGTATACTGTTGGTATGCATGTCCCTGCATGGCCTGTTGGTTTGAGCACTTGACTCTCAGTCTCTGGGTTCCAATCCTGTTGCCAAATATGCTCACTATTTCAACTGTGGGGGTGTTATAAAGTGATGGTCAATTCCGTTATTGTTGGTAAAAGAGTAGCTCAAGAGTTGATGATGGATGGTGTTGACTAGCTGTTTTCCCTCTAGTCTATCACTTTTAAATTAGAGGTATCTAGCACATATGGTTATTGAGTAATTTGTAGTAGTCACCAGTTCAAGAATGTATAGACAAAAAATCATTAACCTTGGAGACTACATGCCAGAAATGGATCAGCAGGCATCCAGAACTGTGCCTCACTGGAACAGAGGAAACAGAGGTGTTGTCATAAAATTGGTTGTCTTCTAGCACAAAGCCAAGAAAAAGTACCATATATGCACACCATAGATATGGTAACCAAAATATGTAAGTGGAAGTAGCCCAGATACTGATTTTTAAGCCTTTGAGAGCTCCAAACAGATGCAAGTCTGTTTAAGATGGGAGAATAGAGATGTCCAGGATCACATGGGATTGAGTGAGTCACCACAACTGCAAGAGGTAAAAAGAATACAACCCATATATGGAGGTACCTGCATTGGCAGCCATTAACTTTTGAAGGTGGACACATATGGGCACATCCAAGAGGAATGAGTGACTCAAGAGAAAAGTCACTGTAAAAAGGCTTATCCAGGAAATGAAGGAGACATGAGAGACCTGGTATCAAAAGTTCCATGTCATAAAGACAAAGGAGTAGACTGATCAAGTAAATGAAATACAGAGTGGGATTTGAGACAGAGATGGACAGCCAAACCAGCCACCCCAAATGAGATGACTCCCAAAAAAGAAGGGAGATTGCTACATAGGAAGCCATGTTGGAAAGGGCAAACAGAGGTCAAACATACATAGAGTAGTAGAACAAAAAGCCTCAAGAATGTAACCTCCAAGTAAACACCCACCAGAGCCAATGAAAAACATGGTGCCATATCCAACTCAGAGGGAAGACTGAGAACCAATTGTTTGACCATTGTGAAAGAATTGAATGAAGCAAAAGGAGGTAAAACAAATTAGGATGTGGAAAAGTGTATGAGACTCCAAAGCAGGTCATCAAACACCTGGGAGAGTATCAATCGGAAAGTAAGAAAACTACCCATTGAGAAGTAAGGAAAAACAGAACTCGGTCACGTGGTACCAACTGATATCTGGCTGACAATTTCCCATTTTCAAGGGAATGATAAAAAGTTGGGAATAAAGCTCCAGAGTGGGGTTGAGGAACTGTTACATAGCATTTGAAGTTGGTGAAGAGGAGAGTAGAAGTATAGAAAAAAAACCTGAGAAAGCATCTGAGGAACTCAATAGGTTGAAGTTAAGGGAGTCCACCAGTGGACAAAGTGAAAGAGGACTTTCACTTTGGGTCCCATGACCACCATATTCAACTGTCAATCTATCATGTCTCGAATTCTCAGGACATGGTGGCAGATTGACTATCTTGCTTAGGCCTGGATCCATCCCACTGAGTGGTTTCCCCATCCTCTCATGTTTTCAGTGGATTTAATCCCACTAACTTTGTCCCGTTATCACTGCATGTCTGCCTCCCATCCATTCTTTGCTGCTAGTCATTTGGTATCCAATTCCAGACTCTACAGCTATGGTTGAGCATGCTCTGCATCTGGTGTGCTTCAATCTTCTTCTTTTATATGCTTCAGCCATATTTCTTTCCCTACTGTCTTGCAGAAGCAATTATTAATTTTTGTTTTGGCTTCCTCCCACACTATTTACCACAGAGAGAGGTTTTTCTTCTTCCCAGACTGCTCTCAACTTTGAATGTTTTTTTAAGGTGATTAAATGTTTTCTCCATTCATCCTCCCTATTCTTTCCTATATGTTCATATTGACCCAGCTCATTTTCTTTGTTTTATATAGTCCATTTATTGTTTTCTCACTTAGGGCACTTGTTGTTGACTTTTCTGGCCAGGAATTTCTCTTCCTCTAGACACTTATCTCCTTCCATTTTGCCTGCTTGAATTATACACCTTTTAAGGCTAGTTCATTCTTCTATGGGTGATGACTTTTTGCCTATTTTTTATGTCTTCTTCAATTATGTTTGTCATCTTATGGCTTCTCTTTCTTCTAGCCATCAGTGTCCCCTGCATTGTGTGCTTGAGAAAAAACAAAAGACAAACAAGTAAGGTGTGTGTCTGCTGTGTTTAGTCAGGGTAATCTATTGCACTGTGTCTTAGTGTGTAACCTATTTATTGTACCTGATGACAATGGTTCACACATCTCTCTGGTGTTCTCCCCCTGTACAAATTCCTCTCCTGTTTTTCTAGTAGTGTATGGGAGAATCCTTGCTTCCCCATTTCCAAGTCACTTGATAAGTTGATATGGAGAGTTCCTCATCAGGCAGTGCAGTACACTGGTACAAGCCTGAGTGGATGTACTCCTCATTTGGGAAATAGTATAGAATAGGACACCCCAATTATGTTATTAGTGAAGCCATTCCAAGGAATTAGGTATAGCCATATAAGTCTTGGGTTCACCTTGGGATATGGGTGTAAGATGCTATTCCTTGTGGTATCATACAAATGTATTTATACAATGTGGAATAGCCTTACTTATAGCCATGGCCAAACTACACACTCATGTTAAGTTGTCCACCTGTGAGATGATAGATAGTTGACCAATCTGCCAACCTTAGCGACATATTAGCATTCAGCAAAAATTCTTATGGCAATATCTGTTGATCTACCACCTCTAGTAGGAGAAGATTATTTTCTGCTTTAGATGAATCCAGTCTATCTCAAGGTGCTGCTCCACTTGACTACCCTCTGCTTCATAGATGTCACACTTTGGACCTTCTCTTTCTGACACCACTTTCAGGAAGAAGCTCATCTTTATAATTTCTCTGTATTGTTTCTACCACCATCTTCAGTGTTGGATTCTAGCTCTTTGTGGTGCTGAGAGGTGAGTAGCATTTCTGATGTTAACATTTTCCTTTTCTGAAATGTATTTCACATAGATGCTTATCTTTCTATACCACCTCCCTCCATTCCTCCCCAGTTTTGATGCATTTAGTTTGCCTTATCAAGAATGAGCCTTTGTTCAAGTGCAAGTGTTCATGAGGATTACTGCATGTAGAAGATGTCCTCTTACTGGTGGAGGGCTATAATATAATAATGAGTGCATTAGGGAAGGTGCAATACACATTAACATGTGTCAGGGTGGGAGCTTTGCTCAAGGCTTGTGCCCTGTGTAGGAAATTACAGTTCACACAAGGTAATAGCTCTTTCTGGTGCAGAAAGATGAGTATCTAATTGAAATACATTTTCTGGTAAGGTAAATGTTAACACTTGTATTAGATTACCTAGTTTTGTGTAATGATCAGTATAGACTATTGTATTAGATTACCTAGCTTGTGTAATGATACAGCATAAACTCTTGTATTAGATTATCTAGTTTTGTGTAATGATACAGTATAAACTATTGTATTAGATTACCTAGTTTTATGTAATGATACAGTATAAACTATTGTATTAGATTACCTAGTTTTGTGTAATGATACAGTATAAGCTATTGTATTAGATTACCCTAGTTTTGTGTAATGATACGGTGTAGACTATTGTATTAGATTACCCTAGTTTTGTGTAATGATACAGTATAAACTATTGTATTAGATTACCCTAGTTTTGTGTAATGATACAGTATAGACTATTGTATTAAATTACCCTAGTTTGTGTAATGATACAGTATAGACTATTGTATTAGATTACCCTAGTTTTGTGTAATGATACAGTATAAGCTATTGTATTAGATTACCTAGTTTTATGTAATGATACAGTATAAACTATTGTATTAGATTACCTAGTTTTGTGTAATGATACAGTATAGACTATTGTATTAGATTACCTAGTTTTTGTAATGATACTGTATAGACTATTGTATTAGATTACCAAGTTTTCTGTAATGATACAGTATAGACTATTGTATTAGATTACCAAGTTTTCTGTAATGATACAGTATAGGCTATTGTATCAGATTACCAAGTTTTGTGAAATGATACAGTATAGACTATTGAATAAGAATACCTAGTTTTGTGTAATGATAAAGTATAGACTATTGAATAAAATTACTTAGTTTTGTGTAATGATGCCATATAAATGTATTTATTTTACAATACCTTGACAGGATTTATACAACGATGAAGTGTTTACTTTTGAACTTTTTAGTTTTAAGATACCTTGTAACAAAATTATAGTGTAGGTTGAACAAAAAGTTTTCTTTTTGAAGGTGTTTTTATTACTTTCACTAAATAGTGGATAATATGTCTGTCTATATGTGGTAAATGTATAAATTTGGAGTTTTCATATGTAATAGTTTGTGGTTGTACTGTTAGTACTGTGTGGTGTAATGATACAGTATATACTGTTGTATTACATTACCTTAATATAATACAATCTTAAATGGTAATGTATCATAGCAGTTCACCTCAGATGTCAGAGTTTCATTCTCAGAGCTATTTAGAAAGTTTGATGTTCTTGGGAGGATTGTGGAAAGTTTTGTTTGTGCACAGTCATACAGATTTAACAATGTTCTATAAACATTAGAAACATTAAAGTTACTACAGTATTTGAAGCTGACAACTGGAGTTTGTGTTCCATAAGCGAGATGTACTTTGTTGTTTAATGTTACTTTCATTAACAGTATTGGTTAGAATGTTTAATATATCTAGTTTTATTATTTTTAATTTATTTTTTTTATTGTAAAAGTTGTTTAGCATTGTTACTTAGTATATGGATTTAGGACTAACTTTAATCTCCTAAAAGAAAAACAAAACATCTATAACATCATTATTTCTAAATCTTCTAAGCTGACTGTTATTGGGTTTACATATGGCCAAAAATATCCGTAACACCAAGGATACATAACTGATGTGACAATGCATTCTAATCTTTGTAAGTAAGAACATGATAAACATATATACTCATTACTAGGTTGAATTTAAGTTTTCATCTTAGTACGTAACTTGCTTTGATCAGAAATTAAATTCAGTTACCTAAAACCTTCTGTTTTACAGCAATCATAAAGGGGGAGAACAATATAAAGTTATATGGAAGTAAAGAAGTTATAATTACAAACCCTCTTAAGGTAAGAATGATGTTACCTGTGTTATTTACTAGTATTCAACAAAATGTTTGAAGTTTAAAATAAAACAAATTCCACATACAAATATTTCATGTCAGAAAAAAGTGTAAACCTCATATTTTGTAGCCTGTACACATCCTGTGTATCTTTATTAATATTTTAGTTTCCAGAATCTAACATAGTAGAAGAATACCTGGAACCAATGGTGACTGGAACAATCATCACTCCTGATTCTTATCTCGGCAGTGTAATCTCTCTCTCTATGGTGAGTAATGAGTAGAAGGGCTTTTGTTATTACAAAGTTCTTGGTAAGTTAACCATTAAGTAAGAAATCCATCTTTTTACTAATAATGAAAATCTTAATGGTGTATGTGTTGGTTTAGAATAAAAACCAAAAACAGTATGTAGGAATGTTGGTTAGGGAGGCATCAGTCATTGTTTGAACTTTGTTATTATTATTATCTAAAAATTTGTTTTCACTACTTTTTCTGTTCTCCAAGTTCTCACATGGAACATGTTCTAGGTTTTTAAATTATAAAATATTTGAGTAAAAGAACAGATATTTCACTTTATTTAACATAATATGAAAAATGTTTGAGATATTTGTTAAGTATAGTTATGAAAGTGTAAATAAAAAATGAAAGTATGTTGGTTTTGATGACATGCATCATTTGTACACAAACCTGGGGTTTTATGGAACACAGCCATCAAATGATGTGAAGTGCAATAGCTAAGTATATGTAAAATAGAATAAAAATTTCACATACAAAAACGTTTGTTTGTGTGTGCATAGTATATAATCATGTAAAAACAGCAACAATAAAAAATGAAGATATTGGAGATAAAGAATATTTATATCATTAATGTCTTTTTATTCAAATAAATATTTATGTATCTGCAAAAAGTAAAAAGATTAAATAGCATTATGAACTTCAAAAAACTTAAAACAAGATCCGTTTGGACAGAGACATCACTGCTAACATCTTTGTTTCTGTATCGATAGGAACGACGAGGTGTTCAACAGTCATCTGAAAACATTGACAACAATACAATCATGCTACGGTACAAATTTCCACTTGGAGAAATTATTGTGGACTTTTTTGATGAATTGAAATCTCTTTCTTCAGGCTATGCCAGGTAAAAATATAATATTTTCAATTCTCTATTTCCAAATTCCCTTAACTTTGTTCTTAAATTAGTGTGCTTCTTAAATACTATTTCAAAATGTTTGTTCTAAGATAAAACAAAAGTCATGCAGCTAATTTTCTATGTTAAAACATGTTTCAAGACAAAAATCATGCAGATAATTATCTATTAAAATGTGTTCCAAGACAAAAGTATTGCAGCTAATTATCTATGTTTGTTAACAACATATTTTATGTTAACACACAAGTGTTCTTTGTTGTCAAGTGTTGATTTCTAAATATTATAGTAGCTTCTGCTGTGTCAGTTAACGCACAACTCTTCCTTGTTGTCAGGTTTTGATTTCTAAATATTGTAGTAGCTTCTGATATTTTACTTAACATACAAGTTTTCTTTGTTGTCAAGTATCGATTTCTAATTATTGTATTAGTTCTATTTTATATTAAAACACAAGTACTCTTTCTCTTCAGTTCTTGGTTGCTAAATGCTGTGAATAAAGCAGTGTGGTCTACATATTCTCTAATTTATTGAGTGATTCTAACCTGAATATCGCAGTGTGATCTACATATTGTCTGATATTGAGTAATTCTAACCTGAATATACCATTGTAATCTAAATATTATCTGGTATTGAGTGTGGTCTACATATTTTAGATATTGAGTAATTCTTATTTGAATATAGCAGTGTGGTCTACATATTGTCAATTATTGAGTAATTCTAACCTGAATATAATAGTGTGGCCTATATATTCTTGGACATTGAGGAATTCTACCCTGAATATTGCTGTGTAGTCTACATATTGTTGGATATTGAGTAATTCTAAGCCAAATATTGCAGCGTTGTCTACATATTGTTAGGTATTGAGTACTTCTAATCTAAATATAGCAGTGTGGTCTACATATTGTCGGATGTTGAGGAATATTAATCTGAATATAGCAGTGTGGTCTACATATTGTCTGATATTGATTAATTCTAACTTGAATTTAATAGAGTGGTCTACCTATTCTAAGATGTTGAGGAATATTAATCTAAATATATAGCAGTGTGATCTACATATTGTCTGATATTGAGTAATTCTAACCTAAATATAACAGTGTGGTTTCAAATTGTCGGATATTGAGTAATTCTAAGATGAATGTAATAGTGTGGTCTCCATATTCTCGGATATTGAGGAATTATAACGTGAGTATAGCAGTGTAATCTACATATTATCTGATCTTGAGTAATTTCAACCTGAATATAGCAGTAGGTGGTCTGATAGTTTCAAATATTGAGTAATTTCAACTTCAGTATAGCAGTGTCATCTACATATTCTCTGATATTGTGCAGTTCTATCCTGAATATAGCAATGTGGTCTACATATTTTCAAATATTGAGTAATTTCAACTTCAGTATAGCAGTGTCATCTACATATTTTAGATATTAAGTAATTCTACCATGAGTATAGCAGTGTGGTATACATATTGTCTGATATTGAGTAATTCTAACCTGAATATAGCATTGTAATCTACATGTTTTCTGATATTGAGTAATTCTAACCTGAATATAATAGTGTGGCCTACATATTCTCGGATATTGAGAAATTCTACCATGAATATAGCTGTGTGGTAAACATATTGTCGGATATTGAGTAATTCTACCCTGAATATTACTTTGTAGTCTACATATTGTTGGATATTGAATACTTCTAATCTAAATATAGCAGTGTGGTCTACATATTGTCAGATGTTGAGGAATATTAATCTGAATATAACAGTGTGATCTACATATTGTCTGATATTGAGTAACTATAACCTGAATATAGCAGTGTAATCTACATATTTTCAAATATTGAGTAATTTCAAATTTAATATAGCAGTGTGATCCACATATTTTCAGATATTGAGTAATTCTTACCTGAATATACCATTGTAATCTACATGTTATCTCATATTGAGTGTGGTCTACATATTTTCAGATATTGAGTGATTCTTATCTGAATATAGCAGTGTGGTCTACATATTGTCTGATATTCAGTCATTCTAACCAGAATATAATAGTGTGGTCTACATATTTTCAGATATATTGAGTAATTCTAACCTGAATATAATAGTGTGGTCTATATATTCTCGGATATTGAGAAATTCTACCCTGAATATAATAGTGTGGTCTACATATTCTCAGATATTGAGAAATTCTAACCTGAATATAGCATTGTAATCTACATGTTGTCTGATATCGAGTAACTCTTATCTGAATATAGTAGTGTGGTCTACATATTATCTGATATTGAGTAATTCTAACCTGAATATAATAGTGTGGTCTATATATTCTCGGATATTGAGAAATTCTACCCTGAATATAGCAGTGTGGCCTACACATTGTTGAATATTGAGTAATTCTACCCTGAATATTCCTTTGTAGTCTACATATTTTTAGATATTGAGTAATTTCAAATTCAGTATAGCAGTGTGATCCACATATTTTCAGATATTGAGTAATTCT